AGATTCACTGCAAGGTTCAAAGTCCTCCTCTTGGATACATTCAAGATTAAATACCTTCCCCATTATATTGTATATATATATATTGTATATATGTATATTGTATATATATATATATTGATTTTTTAAAAAATAGTCAAAGGTATTGGTACTAAGTTCTGAGGACTAATCACGTGTGGTCTGAAATACTGGAGGGGGGTTGCCCTCCCTACATGGCGCCCCTGTATTTCAGCTATTAAGGACAGATTGTTTTGTGTGTGTGTCCCCCTTTCTCCTCTCCTTGTTGGGTGGTTGTGTGTAACCTTAACTAGGAAACAGTTCACATGGCAAAGGGGTGGGGAAGGTTGCATAATCATTATTATTAGTATTATAACTATGATGATTCCTAAACCCTGAAATAGCAAAGCCTCGGTGAATAGGTACTTCTTTTTTTTCCACCAAGATGCACAGATTGCAAATGGCTAGAGGTGTAGGTTACCAAGCGGTCAGTATGGTAATAGCTTTCACAATGAATCCGCAGGGACAATGAGCGCTTATTTTTCTTCAGTACTGTCAAGGAGGCGCTTTGTACTCTGAAATGGTCCTGAAAATGGTAACCAGATAGATATACACGGTTGCAACCGGATTCCTGGCTAGGATAGGAAATAAAGGCCAGAAAATATATTTGATCGAAGTGTTATATTTCTCTTTGCTGATGTCACTTAGGAGGGAAACAAAACAACAACAACAACAAACACAAATTCTTCTTTCCCCCTTTTTTCTGACATTGTTCTGCTGGTTGGGAGAAACTGAGGCCAGTGTGACAGAGGCAGGAGGGACGCTTTAGAGACAAAAGAGATTTCTGCCCCCTAATTTTTTTTCACACGTCCTTGGAGCCTTCTTTGATACAGACAATAAAAGGAAATCCTTCCAAACACTCAAGGACGCCAGACTTTTTTTTGAAAAAAGATCTTTTGATGGAAATTAAACTTTCAAAAACAAAGCTTTAGATATATATTTTTAGAAAAAATAAAACCAAAGGGGTCATTAAAATGGGACTTAATTGAAATTAACAAGGAAGTGGTTATTTTCAACCCCTTTGGGGTAGCCTGTGTGTTAATACAGACACAAACGGGGTGAGCATGGTTCAAGAAGCAATCCTTTTATGCTCCTATTTGGGAGTAAGGCACATTGTATTCGGAAGTGCTTGCTTTCGAGTAAATGTGCACATGTTCGGTCTCTGTTGGCATCCCATAGTCTGATCTTATGCACATTTACCAGAAGTTAATTTCACAGAGTTTTGTGAGAAAGGCTTTGAAGTAAATGTGTGTTACTGGAGACTGACAGTAGGGCAACTTCCAAGGAATTGGGTTCCAGGATGACAAAGCTGTATTCCCTTCCATGGTCATGATGATGATGACAACGACGATGATAATAGTAGTAGTAGTAGTCAGCTTGTAGACAAATGATTGCTAAATATTTATCAGGATTGCTCTCATAAACCAGGAATTGTTATGCAACAGCAACTGATTGTTCAGTTTTACAGTGCTGTTCTGACCATACCTTCACAAAAGTAGTCCTACTTGGATTTATGTAGGACACATTAGGAACTTCCTTCCTTCCTTCCTTCCTTCCTTCTGCAAATGGTCTCAATCCATGTATGGTCAAGCACTTCTAAAATAAAACAGAAGTCCAGTGGCACCTTAAAGAGGAACAGCATTTGTTTCACTTTGAACTTTGACGGGTCACAGCCCAATTCCACAGATCGGCATGTGGAGGAAAATCGTGCTAGGACATCTTATGGGGAAGACTGGGGGGAGGGGAAGGGTGTAGCGTGTGCCCAGCTGGGATGATGAGATTTCTGAGCTCTTTAAGCAAGCGAGAAAAAGCGCTATACAAGTAGGAAGCAGTTACAGCGTTGGAGAAGGTGCTGCTGATCCTAACCCCACAATTCGTTGTAGAAGGGGGGGGGGGCTTCCAACTCAAGCATAAACACACTTTGAGAAAGCTAGTTCAGTGAGAGTGGGGGCGGGGGAGGGGAAGACTTAACCGTTCCAGGCTAATGACTGATTCATGGCATTTTACATCTCCATAAAAACAGCTACAAATGGGCCAGATCGCAGGAGCCGTAGTAGCAATAGCTGTAGTAGTCACAGCAGCAGCAAGGGTAATCTCAGCGGAGGCAGTAACAGTAGTGGCAATTGCAAACTCTCTCTCTCCCCCATTAGAAACAATGAGACATGTGCTTAAATATGGATGGATATGTTAATAGCATTGCTTTTTAAGACGAAACTGCAAAAGGAAGCTGCTTCATTCAATAAAACTGCTTCATTAACACGTGCGAAATGACGAAAAGGAAAAAAACCCTGTAAAATGAGTTGAACTGGGAGAGAGAGGTGTGCAGCTACTGCAAGCAGAAGTTATGAAGTGGGAGGGGCGGGGGGATCTCACTTCCCACCTACGTCTGGGCTATGAGATAATTTCTGTTCTTGTTGGGCTGAGCCCCTCCTCCTCATTCTTTCCCTCCTCTTGGATCGATCGATCGATCAGTAGCGAGCTGGCTGGGCCGATAGATCCCAACCTTATTGCCTTAGAATGCGAGATTGAGAACACCCCCCTCCCCCAATGAGGGAGCAAGGTGTAAAGTTAGCCAAGAATTTAGCAGGGGGTAATCCAGCCTTCAACAAAAAGGCCAATAGGAGGAACACACGCCAAGCCCATCCTTTCGAAAGGGAGGTTGTCTTCCATGGCCCAGTTCCCAAACAGGAAAGACTGGGTCCAATCAGAAATATGCAAAGCGTGCCCTCCCTGGAAAGAGCTGAACTGGCTGGACGACTTTTTTTAAAAAGAGAATCCCCCTCCCCTTCCAGAACATCCTCGGGTTGGGGGTGGGGAATCTGGAGGACATCACTTTGGGGAGGGGGGAAGGGCTATTCCCCTCCTCTCGGCTCCACAAAAGCCAGATTCTCCAGTCGTCTATATATACCCTGTAGAATCGAATTTGTGTGCCCGCCTCAATCACAGATTCGTCTCTAGGGGAGTATATGGATGACGCCAGAGCCTTGCTAGCCTCCCGCTCTCTTTCACCCCCCCCCCCTTAGTTGCAGATGTTGTAATTAAAGTTACAAATATCTGAGCTGGGGGGTGTTATGTGTTGTTTTCTTTTGAATTAAAAAAAGTCTTAAAAAGCAGGACAGATCCACTCTGTTCCACCTTAGACTAAGGAGTTGGGTTTTTTAAAGGGGGGAGGCAGAGGGTGCTCCTCCTGATCATTAAAAAAAAATCATAATTATGACTTTTCTTGGAAAGAAGGAAGAGGAGCAACCGCAAACGCAAGCTCACACAAGCCTTTGCCAGAGAGGAGGAAGGAGAGGGAGAGCGAGCGAGCGAGAGAGACCTAACCATTCCAAGTGACTGATTTATGGCGTTTTACAGCCCCATAAAAACTGTTACAACCAGCCCAGAGCCTCCGACACCGCTGGCACATTTAGTCTAATAAATAAAACATAAACAGTTAACTTTATGTGTCACTTTTATTGTTATCAAGTAAAATATGGCAATGCCCTGCAAGCTATGATTTTCAACTATAATTGTTATCAAGCCGTACGAGGGATTAATCCGACTCCCAGTGCCCCATCTCCTTAATGTAAGCGATAGATAAAAAAAGCCCCTGCAACTTGCCATCCCGGCGCTCTTTTAAAAGGTTTGCCTCGTAGCTCAGCTTCCTTAACTTACCCAGGGGTCTGTTTATCCTGGCACATGGTGGTTGGGGGATTATTATTATTATTTTTATTATTTATTATTATTTTACTTTGCCCTGGCATTTCTTCTGCCCACCACCCCTGATTCCACCAGGAAGTCAGATGCTCTGGAATGCATTTTTAACATACCTCTCCAAGAATCTGTGGTTGCCAGGGAGAGTGGGGGGGGGTCAGATCTGCCTCTCCTAGGGAAGTGGTGGTTGTAGGGGGACCGTCTTCCTTCCCTCTCTACCTTCAAACAGGACTGGGCACCTGCGTGTGGTTTTTCTCTGCCTGGCTAAAGGACAGCAGGAACTTCCAGCTACTGAAACCTAGCAGATCTTTTTTTTTAATGGCTCATCTCCCAGTTTCACTCACATGCTCACCTTTCTTCTCAATAACCCCCCATCCCAAATGGTGAACAGGGAGGGAGGATGGGGATCCTGCCATCTGTCCGGGTAAGGAGTTGTCTTGCTTTCATTCACAACTATACCAGCTCCTCTCTACCAAATCAGCTCGCCCTTAAGCAAAGGCTGATGAGCTTTTTCGCAGAGAACTCCAAATGACGCCAAGGTGATTTGCATATCCCCTTCCCTCCCTCCTTCCCTCCTCCCAGGTAACCTGTCTCCTTTGTCTCCCCTCCTAGAAGCCACTGCATCACAAATATTGAACTCTCTTCTAGTGTGTGTGTGTGGGGGTGGGTGTTGTGTGTTCTGCAGACAGTACTACTAATCCTGCCCTGTGTGGGGGAGGAAGGGGGGGAAGCATCTTTCTTCCCCACCAGCTTTTCTTTAAGGTGAAACAAGCAGAAATGTGTATTTAAAAAAAACACCTCTGCTTCCTCCTCTGTGGCGTCCAATGATCTTCCTGAGCAGGGATCAGTTAACTCTTGGGTCTCTCTATACCAGAGGAGTTCCTGTGTACCTGGAAGGGGGTGGGGGCGGGGAGGCTCATCCTGCCTCTGGTTCTCCCCACTGCCTCTGGTGTCCTTGCACGATGCTCTGTTGTGTGCTTTTGATCAAAGGGGGGGGGGGAGAAAGGATCTTGCTCTCCTTCCCTTCCCCCCAGCTCTTTGGCTCCCACTTCCAAGGGTTCTCACAAACAACAATCAGGACACACATACACACATCTTCCCTCTCTCCCTCCCTCTCTCTGCCCCCCCACACCCGTGCGCTCTCTCTCGCTCTCTCTCTCACACACACACAAATTGGATACATTTTGAATAAGCTTTTGGTTCCTTATCCGGGGACTCGCTCGGCGGGCGTGATTGGCGCACCGAGTCACATGGTGAAACTAACTTTACGGGGTCGCCAGCTAGTAGGAGGGTTTTATGGAGCAGAAAAACGACAAAGCGAGAAAAATTATTTTCCACTCCAGAAATTAATGATCATGAGCTCGTATTTGATGGACTCTAACTACATCGATCCGAAATTTCCTCCATGCGAAGAATATTCGCAAAATAATTACATCCCAGACCACAGTCCGGAATATTACAGCCGGACCAGGGAGTCCAGTTTCCAGCATCACCACCAGGACCTGTACCCTCCGCCACCTCCTCCTCCTCCTCCTCCGCCACCGCGACCCAGCTACCCCGAGCGCCAGTACAGCTGCGCCAGCCTCCAAGGTCCCGGCAACCCCCCGGCGCACCAGAGGGGCCATGGACCGCCGCCCGGAGGCCACCACCTCCCCGAGAAACCCCCGCAGCTCTGTGACCAAACGGCTCTCTCCAGCGCGGCCGCCTCCCCGGCCCCGGCCCCGCCGGCGTGCAACCAGCAAACCCCCGAGCATCCCAGCGGCACGGCCACCAAGCAGCCCATAGTCTACCCCTGGATGAAAAAAATCCACGTCAGTACGGGTAGGCAACTTTTCCCCCCTTCTCTCGCTCTCGCTCTCCCCTCGCGGGTCTCTTTCTCCGCTCCCTTCCCCCCCTTCCCCCCCCAAGCAGCACCCATGCTCCCCAGCTCTCTCGCACACCACACTCGCTCCCTCGCTCGCTCCTTCTCACTCACACACTCCCTCGCTCGCTCCCTTTTTTCCCCCCGTCTCTCCTCCTTTGCCTTCAACGAGAGGCTCCCGGGTTAGCACAATTGAGCGGGATTTACGACTCCGAGTGGGTAATTACACCCACCATAAATTTTATAGCCGAGCTAGTCTGGGCAGCCCCAGCCATGTGGTTCGCTCTCTGTTATGTATGTGTGAAACTCCGAAGGCTTTGCGAGGGGTGCATAAATAATTCAGGATCTTTCCAAGCCAGGGAAACCCCTTCTTATTAGAAGAGAAAGTCTCGGGTTCTTTATAACCCATTTAGCTGATGACTTCTCTCTCTCTCTCTTTTCTCCTTCCTCCCCTCTCCGGCTCGCTCTCCCCGTTTCCCTTGAGCCACTGGAGAGCTCTCTTTCTCTCGGCGTGCATCTCTCGGGCTCGGGGTCTCTGCCTCGCCTCGCCTCTTTCTCCGGCTTGCCTGTATTCATGCGAATCTCTGGGGTCTGTGTGTTTTTCTTCCCCTCCCCAGTGAACCCCAATTACAATGGAGGCGAGCCCAAGCGATCCAGGACTGCCTACACCAGACAGCAGGTCTTGGAATTAGAGAAAGAGTTCCACTATAACAGATACCTGACGAGGCGGAGGCGCATCGAGATCGCCCATTCCTTGTGTCTCTCGGAGAGACAGATCAAGATCTGGTTTCAGAACCGGCGGATGAAATGGAAAAAAGACCACCGGCTGCCCAATACCAAAGTGCGGTCGACGGCGCCGAGCAATTCTTCCACCGGCTCCATGGCCGCGGCGGCTGCTTCTTCCAACCCGGGGGCCAGCGAAGAGCACTCGCAAAGCTCATCTCAGGACCAACGAGCAGAGGATATTACGAGGTTATAAACAAAACAGAAACAAAAACAGAGAAACAAACAAACCAGAAACCAACCAACCAACCAACCCCCGACAAAAATTGACTCTGATTATTTATAGAATCTAATATATATCTATATATTTTGGTTCTTTTTTTTTCCTCGTAGGGTTTTTTCCTCCCGTGCGTATATATATTAAAAAAGAGGGGGGGGGGGAACACACACAAAAGAAGGAGGTCTTCTTCAAGATCTCAGGCTTACGGTGCATGTATTCTTAGCATGAGAGGCCAGGTGAAGTACCTGCTGGTATTTTCTTTTTTTTAAAAACCGCCATTTTCAGGGTCTTATTTATTTTTTAAAGGGAAGGAGAGGAGGGATGGAATGGACATGTGTGTATGTGTGAGTGTGCGTGGGTGTTGTGTTGGGGGGAAAGCTTAAATGTTCTGTTTTAGATGAATATTCGGGGCATATGCTAATAATTACACAGGCAAGGAAAGAATGTAGCTATTTTGCCCTGTGCGTTTACAAATGGAGAACAAAACAAAAAAGGGGAATGGGCCCTTTTTCTTTCTTTCTTTCTTTTCTTTCTTTTTTAATAAATGTGGGGCAAGGTTTTCCAAAACAATAAGGGGGGGGCAAACAGCACAGGAGCTAGAAGTAGCAGAGAAACTTAAGGTTTATTTAAATGTGAGCAGCAAAAAGAGAGAGAGGAAGGGAAAATGTGAAGGAGAAAGTTGCAAGGGAAAAAAGTCAATAGCTAGATTTTTATTGGTTTTTTTTCGTCGTGGTTCTTGTGTTTTTTGGACTGATTTTACATGATCATTGTAAACTTGCAATAAAAAAAAGAGTTTTAGTGTTATCTGTGAAAAAGTCCCCTTGTTCAATAAAACCAGTGAGTGTGAACACAGATTGACTTTGGAATGCCTGGTGAGTTCTTTTACTTTTTGTGTGTGTGCTTTGTCCTGGGCCTGGGAAGAGGGGGTTATGCCAAGGCACTGGTTTCCTAAAAAATGGGCAGGTTATCAGTTAAATTTAAGAAGCCTTCTAAAGACATCCTATATGTCACTGAATCAGTGACCAGTTTGTCACTGAGTTTAGGGATTGTGTCCTTTGTACCCTGTGACATCACAAGATGGGGGGAAAGATGCTCCAGCCGTCTGATTCTGCTAGGAGGCCTTGGGAGCATCAGATGTGTGTGGCCTTTAAAGAATATAACCCTGTCTTTGTATCTTCTTCCATGTAAATCCAGGGTGCCTTTTTAATGCTTTCCCCTTGCATACCAATCAACTCAGTAGTAATTTTTTTAATGGAGGTTTCCTTTACTCCCCTGTCTTTCATTCTCCATAAACTTAAGCAAGCTTTAGCTGAAGTGTCCCCCCCTCCCCAGTCCTGAGCTTTGAATGCATTGCTAACATTGACACTGCTGTAGATATGATGGGAAGAAATTGTAGCAAATCAGGATTTGTTTACTTCCCTGGGGAAGCAGGAAGGGTGGCTGGGAGGAGTGTATAGAAGTGTTTGCAAAGAGGCCATGCACGTGTGTGTCTCTCTGTGTACATAGGGGACTTGGTGGATTAATGTATAGGTGGGTGGGTAGGTAGTAGATAGATAGATAGATAGATAGATAGATAGATAGATAGATAGATAGATAGATCAGCAAATGCCTTTCTAGAACCAAATCTGTCCCTATTTGCTAGTAGAAAGGATTGTGTTTGAAGTGTACCTCTCCCATAGAAGCTTGTTTCAAGAGGCCTGTGGTTGTAGCCTGTAGATATCATAAGGGCCCCTCCAAAACTGATTTCCTCTGAAGTAAAGGGATTTGATCCAGTTTAGCCCTGTTGATTTCAATGGTGTTTCAACCGTCTTGAATCATATGCCCTTCAGTGTTGTGGCCTGAGTTCTTAGCCATGCCAGTACTTTGCAGTGGTCATATTAATGTCTGCGTTTCCTGCTCTTTTCAGTGCTAGTATGGTTCGATAGCCAAGGAACTATTTAATTCAGGAGTTCTGGAGGGCTGGGTCGAGGAGGGGGATTCAAAGGGGACCTTTCCCTCCCTTCCTCCCCCCCCAACCCCAATGATCCTTGATATCCATTAAGTAAATGGTTTCAGCATCTATGATGGGGGTGGGGGGGAGGCAGGGAAGGAGAAAGTAATTGACAAGGGGATACAGATTAGGGGAGTAATCTACATCTCATTCAAGTCAAAGCAGAACTGGTATTGATTTTAAATGGGTCAGAATTACACACTCGGTGGCTGTAATCCAGACCCGCTTGGGGAAGCCAGTGGTCCAGGAAGCCTCCAAATCGATGGATTAGAGGCAATATAGCCTGTTAGTTGCCTTGCTTCCTGTACTTTGCTTGGCATAGTCAAAGAACCCAGAAAAGGCATTCTTGTGATGGTAAGCATGAACCTAGGGCTGCATTTGCACAGTTCCGGGTGATCAAAAATGGGATAAATTAAGAAGTGTTGCTGGTAACCAGTCTTTCCTTCTCATGGTCAGGCCTGTTGGTTCATCCTGTTTAGTCTAGTGTGTGTGTTTGTGTGTGTGGGTGTGTGTGGGGGGGTAGCAAGTAAGTAGAGGCACACTTACTTGGAAGCAAGCATCCCTGAACTCTGTTAGACTTACTTCTGTGCAAGTAGGCAGGGGATGGGGCTTCAAGCTGAATCCATCGATCTATCTAGAAAGGATCTCTCTCTCTCTCTGTTTTGTGTTTGTGTGTGTGTGTTTCCAAATAAATCAGCAAATCCACTGCCAAAAGAGATAGTGGGGATGGGTGGGAAAGGACCAGTCTTTCCAGGAGGAGTTGTAAGCAAAGAATCGGCAAGAGTCCCTAACTTGCCAGGGATGGTACCGCCTGCTGCACGAGCCACATGTTGCAAAGCGGGTCTCGGAGCTCCAGTACACCCACCTAGGGACACACTCGGCGTCTCCCCTCCCCTTTTAAAGGGAAACTTACCAGAAGTTCTCCAGCAAGTGACCCTGGGAAACTGTATGGATGAGCCTGTATCTGTGCTCGGGAGCGTTTGGCTTTGTCGTGTTTTGTTTCTGAATTTCACACGCCGCTTTCAGAACTTGATGAATACTTAACGAAGTGTCTGCAAGGGGATCAGCCTGAAAGCGATGGGCCCTTTTTGTATGTGTGTGTGTGTGTGTATGCGTGTGTATTCTCTGTTGTCTGCCTAGGAGACCCGGAGGGAGGAAAAAGAAAAGCATCAATCACTTTTGCAACTGTATAGTCTGCATATTCAGATTTATTTTTTTAAAAAAAGGAGACACTTTTCGGGAACAGCATGGTTCGACATCGGATCTGTATCTTGCACCCCACCCCCACCCCCTATTTTCTCCTTGGGGCGGACTTCAGTGTTTATCTCCTGCAATCTTTTCTGATCTTTCTTTTCCTTTTTTAAAATATTTCATATGCTTTAACCTTTAGACTTGGCCATGAAACAATTCTTAGCTGGGCAGAGAGATTAGAATGACTTAGAAAGGGAGAGGGGGGGGGAAGGGAGAGGGGAAAAAAAAAGGAAGAATGGCATGAGATAAACCAAACTTTGTGCTCTCTCTCTCTCTCTCTCTCTCTCTCTCTCTCTCGCTCTCTCTCTCTGTTTTTTGACGCCTCCATGTTGAGAGCCTCAGAGGTACTTTATTGAAGTTCGGGTAAAAGGCAAAAAGAGAGAGAGAGAGAGAGAGAGAGAGGGTTCACGCAGAGGGCAACTTTTCTACGCCAGCAGTTTTATTCTCGCCACTCCGACTGACCTCCAAGCCCCCTCTGACCCGAGCGAGTCTCCCAACGTGTACCTTCTGCGCTCATTCAATGCGTGTTATCGCATTGTGCTGTCACCAAAATAACCCCAGAGAAAAGAAGGAAGGGTGAAGTCTCGGCCAAGCCTCCCATCTCATTTTCCCGCCTTCCCATACTTTGGAAGATTTCCCAGCTGGCTATCCTATGGTAAGAGCAAAGTTTCCTACGCCAAGTAAGTATCTTGCCTTTTTTATATAAAAAAAACCAGAACGCAACGTGAACAAAAAAATATGTGCAGTTTTTTGTTTTTTGAAATGTGCAATTCTTTAGCCAAAGGGGTGCCGTCTGGAAATAGGTGGGTCTTTAAGGTGCCATAAGTCTCGGCAACAGATGAATAAGAATCTTGTTGTAACCAAAATTCAGGCATGGGGGTGGGAGAACAGGGGGAGGGAGGACCAGATTCTCTGGTGTTGACTGGTCCACGTTTGGAACTCGGCAAACTTGTGAAAAGTTCAGTCCATGGAACCCTGTGGCCACCACCAGCCGCCGCCGATGAATCAGTATGACCAAGCCCTTGGATCTCTATGCCACCTCATGTCAGAGCTTCAGTATCTCCTGTGCAGTTCAGGGACCAGAAGCCTGGCGATGACTTCCGTGAAACATGGTCCACAGCTGTGTGGAATGGTTGGATCTCTTCTTGTTTCACATGTCTGTCTTCTACGCCATGGCTGGTACCAAAGCTTCTCACTCCTACCCGTTCCTCGGTGATGGACTTTGACCTATTTACCTTCCAAAAGTTAAGCCAGGTGAGAGTGTTTCAGGAGGATAAAAGGGAGGCCAGGGAGCTGTTTGAAAGCCCGCGTGTGTTATAGTCCAGTCTGTTCGAAGTTGCTTGAGGAGTTGTGGGTACTTTCTTGTTCTCGGTTAGAGTTATTATTATGATGTTGACAAGTGTCTTGCTGAAAAGGAAGGCTTCTTCTAACGGTCCTGCCGGGAACACTTAGCGGGGACTTAGATGGCCAGAAAAGGAGGCTGTTAGGAAAGCCCTGGTACACAAGGCGATCAAAATGGGCCATAGAAACTCTGTTTCAAAAAGGTCATTTCCGAAGGAACCTGCCTTCGGTATTCTAGGTTTGCTAGGCAAGACCCCGCAGAAAGAAGCAGTCGTGGAACTTGCAAGGCGCGACTTCCATCTTGAAAAGACTGTGAACTGGACACGGTCAAAAGAAACTCTCCCCTCTCCCCTAGTATAGGGTAGCCTAACCTTGTTTCCTAAATTGTTAACAGCATCTGCCCCTAGACGTCTCCGATCTGGCCATAGCTTCTCGCGTTCCCCTCTTCC